GTCCTCTGCTGGACAGCCTCGAGTAGTTTTATTCACGTGTGAAGAGTCGAATGCTATTTTTGTTAACTGTACGTCTGTATTTATGTGGTGCCAGTGGCCCCGCCGGGCCCCTCTGCGCACCTCCGGAGTCCTGGGCCCTGCCTGGCCCAGCCCAGCCCCCCACGGCACTGACCTCCGGAGTCCTGGGCCCTGCCTGGCCCAGCCCAGCCCCCCACGGCACTGACCTCCGGAGTCCTGGGCCCTGCCTGGCCCAGCCCAGCCCCCCACGGCACTGACCTCCGGAGTCCTGGGCCCTGCCTGGCCCAGCCCAGCCCCCCACGGCACTGACCTCCGGAGTCCTGGGCCCTGCCTGGCCCAGCCCAGCCCCCCACGGCACTGACCTCCGGAGTCCTGGGCCCTGCCTGGCCCAGCCCAGCCCCCCACGGCACTGACCTCCGGAGTCCTGGGCCCTGCCTGGCCCAGCCCAGCCCCCCACGGCACTGACCTCCGGAGTCCTGGGCCCTGCCTGGCCCAGCCCAGCCCCCCACGGCACTGACCTCCGGAGTCCTGGGCCCTGCCTGGCCCAGCCCAGCCCCCCACGGCACTGACCTCCGGAGTCCTGGGCCCTGCCTGGCCCAGCCCAGCCCCCCACGGCACTGACCTCCGGAGTCCTGGGCCCTGCCTGGCCCAGCCCAGCCCCCCACGGCACTGACCTCCGGAGTCCTGGGCCCTGCCTGGCCCAGCCCAGCCCCCCACGGCACTGACCTCCGGAGTCCTGGGCCCTGCCTGGCCCAGCCCAGCCCCCCACGGCACTGACCTCCGGAGTCCTGGGCCCTGCCTGGCCCAGCCCAGCCCCCCACGGCACTGACCTCCGGAGTCCTGGGCCCTGCCTGGCCCAGCCCAGCCCCCCACGGCACTGACCTCCGGAGTCCTGGGCCCTGCCTGGCCCAGCCCAGCCCCCCACGGCACTGACCTCCGGAGTCCTGGGCCCTGCCTGGCCCAGCCCAGCCCCCCACGGCACTGACCTCCGGAGTCCTGGGCCCTGCCTGGCCCAGCCCAGCCCCCCACGGCACTGACCTCCGGAGTCCTGGGCCCTGCCTGGCCCAGCCCAGCCCCCCACGGCACTGACCTCCGGAGTCCTGGGCCCTGCCTGGCCCAGCCCAGCCCCCCACGGCACTGACCTCCGGAGTCCTGGGCCCTGCCTGGCCGCAGTGGAGAACCCAGCCCAGCCCGGCCAGGGTAAGGGGCCGTTAGCAGGAGCCGGAGGGGCTTCCCTCCCTCTGTGGACTAGAAGAACGGGGGCCTAAGCCCAGCACCTGGCGTGGCCGAGTCCTGGGCTCCGAGAGCCGCTCCAGCCCTTATTCCCCTTGGGAGCTGAGCGAGGGGCTCGAAGCCCGCGGGCGCTTGGTGGGCCCTGCCACATGCTACTGAGCGGCCTCCGCTTGCAGCCCTCAGCTGGAGCCCTGAGCCGGATGCTGCTGTGCAGCCTGGGTGCGTGGACGGGGAGGGAGCTGCCTGGGCTCCCAGAACTCTCCTCGAGGGCACTACCCCTGGGTTCCTCCGGTGCCCCTGGCTGGGGGCCGGGTTTACTGGCTCCCCCCTGCAGCCGCGCCCAGGCCTAGATCTCTGCCGACAGCAGGGCAAGGAGAAGCTGACGAATCAGGCCTGCCGGGGGCCAGGTGCGGCTCTGGAGCTGCCCCCGGCTGAGCGGGGTTCCCCACTGCGCCCAGCGGAGCAGGGCCGGGTTGAGTGGGGCGCTGCCCGAGAACAGGGCTCCCCTTCGTCAGGCACAAGACAAGCTGCACGCTGCCCGTTTACTGTTTATTCCACGGGAGCAGGGAACAGAGGCTGCGAAAGGCTGGCTCACCAGAGGGGGACGGGGCTGCGGGATGGCTCCCATAACAGGGCAGGGCGGACGCTAGAGCAGCTCACTGCCCCATGAGCACGGGAAAGTGAGCTGCTGCCCAAGGCACAAGGGGACAGCGGTGGGGCTGGGTAGGGGCGACAGGCACAGTGGCTTGGCTCCGGCCGTGCTTCCCCAAAGCGCTGGCCCCTTCCTTGGGGGAACGCCGGGGCCCTGCCCGCTGCAGCCGGGCCTGGGGGGAGCAGCCCCCCTACTTCTTCCACTCGTTCTTGTCGTAGTCCCACTTGGCAGAGAAGCCCTGAATGGGGTTCATGCGCATGTCCAGCATCCTCTTGACCTGGTACGCCTTCCACTCCTCCGTCAGGGTGTGCGGCTTCGGGGGGAACACTGGGGAGAGGGGAGAGTGTCCAGCCGGAGCAGCCTGGCTATCCCGCCTACCATGGCTGTGGCCACCGTATCCCCCCCCCGGGACTCGCCACCGATTTCACGCCTGGGCCCCTTCCCTCCCTGTTCACAGCTGGGCCGGGCCAGGGTGGTCACGGGCACCGGGCTGGTCCTGGCTCGGCCCTCGCCTCCTGTGGCCAGCAGCAAGCAGCGTGGGCTGACCCGGCTCGGCCGTGATTTCTCCCGCTGGTCCAAGGGCATCGGCTGCAGCCAGGGGCTGGCCCAGGCGCCCTCTGCTGGCTGGCTAGTGGCTTCCCCGGGTCGGGCTTGAGCGCGAACGTTTGCGGCGGATTTTGTCCCTGGTACCTTGGAGTCCCTGCTGCCCGCGTGCACCGAGCAGGGACGGGGGCTGCCCCGCTGGATCCCAGGCTCAGCTCTTGGCGCAGGCCCGGTTGGCTAGAAGTCTCCCAGCCGCGTAGCCCCGATCCTCGATGCCCCCTGCCCAAAGCCAGGGCCTCGGGCCTCAGCCCGTTCCACGCCCCACTGGTGCCCCGCTGCCCCAGCCCTGGCTGGCTGGCAGCCGCACCAGCTCGGAGTGACGGGTCGGGTTCGTCCCGGCTCAGCAGGGGCAGGACGTTCCAGGTGGGACCCCCAGAGTAGTTATTCGAAGGGGGAGCCGCTACATGGGCAGTAGCTTGTCACTTCGGCCCCCCCCTTCCCTTCCCAGGTGCTGCCCGCACTTACCGTAGACTCGCTGCCACCACACGACTAAGCCGGTGAAGCCGAAGAAGAGGAAGATTCCCCCGAACACCGTCTTCCATTCGTTGGAGGGCCTGTTCATCTCCGCAAAGGTCTGCTTGAACTTCAGGTGATAGACTAGCGAGAGGGGAGGGAGGCGAAGATGGCGCAGAAATCCCCAGCCCCCGCAGAGAGCCCATCCTCTAACCCACCCCGGGGCGGCCTGGCAGAGGGGGCGAGCGCAGATCAGCCTCAGCCCCAGTCTGCAAAGGGCGACGGTTTCTGGTGGACGCGAATGTCGGAGCCCCCTCGGGCCGTCAGCTGCTCCCCTCGCTAGTCCTGTGGCCGAGCCCCGTCCCACCCTGCCTTTCCCCCGGGACGCTGGACGCGTGGAACGGCCGGCTCTGGCAGGCCTGGGACAGCCGTTAACAGGCAGGGGGAGACGGGCCAAGCTCAGAGCATGACGCCAGCTGGGCAGGGAGCTGAAATCACAGCACGGGCTGGAGGAGCTGGGCAAAGCAGGAGTTGTAAGGGGCGGCTGCCCTGGCACCAGGGGCTTTCTCGCAGGGGCAGGGCAGCTGCACTGGGGCCAGCTGTCTGTGCTAAGTCCATCCATGGTGCTGGGCTGCTCCAGCCTGGCTTCCAGCAGGGGAAGCATGAAGCCCCAGGCCCAGAAGCCTGTTTTGGGGGGCTCCCGTCTCCGCTCTGATGCAGCTCCAGGTTGGGGCTCCCTCCACCTAGCCCTGGGCCGGGGGGCTGAGGCCAGCAGGGCCCAGCTGCACTAGTGCTGCTGCTGAGGGCTGAAAGCTGGGGACTGGTTTTGCTGCTGGAGAGTCGCTATTACGGTGGTGGGGAGAGAGAAACCCATCTGCCCCCAGCCGGCGGCCGACCCCTGCTGAGCAGGCTGCAGGGAGCCGGGGGCAGGTCCGGGCTGTGCCACCGACAGGAGACGGGACGTGGGGTGAGGATGTCGCCCCTCGCCGCGGCAGCTTTGCAGGGGGAGGGCAGGGCCCGCCCACGGCACCGTCCATGATGGGCGGTTTCCCGGCCAGAGGTAAATGTCAGTGGTGTCACCGGGGATGTGGGATCGGGCCCCCCCCCCACACACACACACACTCTGCTGCCTGCAGAGCCGGACGTGGCAGCGCTCCCTGCAGCCGCACCGAGAGGCAGACGGGCTGGGCTCCCCTGCGTTGCTGGAAGCACCCGGCTCGGAGGGACCAGACTTGCTCACGGCCCCCCACTCAGCAGCAGGAACCTCAGCCTGCTCCCCATCCTGCAGCAGGGAGAGACACCCGGAGGTGGGGCTGTCTGGGCCCCCTCCCACTGCCAGAGCAGTTTGCATGGGAGAGGCAAGGCCTGTCCTTCCCCTGCCTAGTGAGAGCCAGGGAGCCCCTGCGCCGGGGCCCCTAGGAGCCAGGACGCCTCCGATTTCACGGGGAAGGGCTTATCTCACAGTCCCGGCTGCACTTTTCATGGCCATGAAACTGGCTTGGGTGGAGGCTGCTGGGAGCAGCAGGGCCGGGGCCAGCGTCAAGCCGCTGCTGGCTGGGGGAGGGGGAGGGCCAAGGGGCAGGGGGACCCCGGCCGTGGGC